CACGGGCCTTGTTCATCTTCTGTCTCTCTTTCCTCCTGTCCGCTGCATCCCTCACCGAGTCGAGGTTCCGGTTGAGCGCTCTCAGCCTTGCACCAGTGGTTCGCATGAAAATCGATCATCAAAGGAGTATGAGCGTCATTGTCCCGGTCACCCGAAAGGTACGTTGTCCGCGTGGAGTTCCGAAGCCACTCGGAGACACTGACCATGTACCCGGACCGTGTTGAAGGAAGCTCGGCCCACTGGTCATCGATCATGCTGTGACCCCATTCCATGACAGAAGCCGTCATGGGGTCAAGACGCGGGAACATATTCCAGTCTGGTTTCACATCCTTGTCGAGAGAAATGTCTGGCACGGGCATCTCATCAGGTGATGAAGCCTCCGGTGCCATGTCCACGTCGTTGGCGGCCTCCTCGTCATCCGTGTGCTCATCATCCTTGGTATCCGATACTTTTTTTTTGAGGAGAGCCTTCGGTAGGTTCGACCTTCACTCCAGATGCCTCTCCCTGTAGAGAGCTTTCCGGAGCTTCAGTCTCCATTGGCACTTCGGGTGTCTCGGTCTTTGCAGAGCCAGCCGTCTCACCCTGTGGTAAGTCCGCTGACCCTGCCGCGACCTCGGAGGTATCCATGGAGTTTCCTTCTCGGGCTCAACGACCTCCTCGACCTGCGGAACGGGAAGCTGCTCCAGGAATTTCTCCACAGCACAATGTCCTGGTAAGGACGGGTGTAGGGTTCTTCCAGTTCTGCTTCTCGTTTTTCCTTGAGGGCCAGGCACATAATCAAGTCATTCTTCGCCTTCCTGCCAAACTTGGAGGTGAAGTCCTTGTTCATAGCGTCCTGGAAGCTCTTCTCAAGGCCGGCGAGGATGTACGGGCCGTTGAACGTTTGCCTGAGTGTGGAGTCGCACAGGCCATACCCCTCAGGAGTTCTGACGAGGTACTTTCGGCGGATGTCCTCGTTCTGCGCGTTGCGTTGGATGTAGGCGAAGAAATCTGGGCCGTACGCCTCCGTGATGACCGAGACGAGCAAGGAGAAGTCATCTCTGACATACTGGATTTCTCGGCACCCATTCCTGGTGGAATGCACGGTGCGCCTCGAGTTTCCTTGCGTAGTCTGGATTATCGGGCTTCGGCTTTTGCTCCCGAGGATCATGATCTTCCGGACGAGGGAAACCAATTTGGCTAGCGAGAGGACGGAACTCCATCTCGGCGGCATTGGAGAGATCCTTGAGTATCTGAGGGATCCCTCAATTAAGGATGTCTCTGAGTGAATCGCTCGAGAGGACTCTCGTATCCACCTGTGTAGACCTTCGGCTTGTCGCGGAGTTCCACCAAGTAATGTTCGCCGCGAACTGTTCGCCTGTGACTAATTTGCATGGGGTGGGATTAATAAAATAATTGTTCGGGCCGGTTCTGCCGATCGCTTTCTGGAAAGACTACAAGCCTGCAACCGGTCCCCGGACGCCCAAACAATTAAATGGGGTTGTAATAATAAAATAATTATTTCGGGCTGCCCTTTTTTTGGGCATGGCGAGTTGAGAACAAGCACTAAGCCGTTTGTGGCATCCCTACACCCCAGCAACGGAGAGATCAAACGTGATTGGGCTCGCCGGGCCCCGGCGAGGCCAAAAAGCGGTCACATTTGCCCCTTCCCTCCCTGCACCCTAACAACGGCCAGCGCAAATATGCCGGAATGGGGGGAACCCCGAGATTGGCCCTGACCCCTTCAAAAACACGCTTTTACAAAAAGGACTTATCATTCAAAATCTGGCCCTGGTTTTCCAAAATTTGCCTGCTCCCTCTCCTCCCTACACCACAGCAACCGGCGAGCCCAAAAAGCGGTCACATTTGCTCCTTCTCTCCCGGCACCCTAGCAACGGCCAGCGCAAATATGCTGCCGGAATGGGGGGAACCCCGAGAT